TGTTGTATGTGTGCACACACACACACAAAGGTGCACAGTATTTGGCTACCTATATCCTTGTTTGACTGTTCCAGGGGGAGAAAGAGAGACAGACACAGAGACCGAGATGGAGAGAGACCANCTGGGGGCACTGACCTCAAACCCCATCCCTGAGAGTGCTGAGCCCATAATTCCTATGTCCTCTTCAGGCTACACTACTTGCTCATCGGCAGTTGAATCTGGGAATAGGAATACCAAAAATGCTCCTGTAGATCAGCTCAATGCTAAACATCTTCCTAATGGCTCCCAGAGCTCCCTTCTGTGCTTGATGATTTCCCAACACTAGAAACCCAAGGGGATAGGTGCCAGCCAGTGTTTTCATAGCAATCAGATTTTACTATTTTACCCTCAAGGTTGCTTTCTTCTCTCAGAGTCACTACCCCTAAATACACAGAGTGTATAATAATGGAATAATGAGGTAACATTCCCATAAATGGAATACTTGGAACTGAGGTGACTGGGATCTCCTATATACCTGACATCTGGATTGTTGTATTCTAATGGTACTATACCAGCATTTGTAGTTATCTTTCCTGGTCATCTCAGATCCCTTATTTAATTGCATGCAAATGGATGAGTATTCCAGCTTTCCCTGTTAAAATTTTCATTTGGAATGTTCTTAGGAAATTTCTAGTATTCCCACTTGTTGTTCCTCTTTATCCTAGATGACTGGCCTCTGGTTTGATTGGTCCGTGGGTTCTAGTCTGAGAACTGACTCAGTCTGCATCTGTAAAACGGATCTTGAGTTTCCTTCAGATTCAGTATCCTCATCTTTTCGTTCATTTATTCCCTAACTCTACAGAGCTTAATGTACAGGTATACCTATAACCTACTTAACTGCCTATATCCTATTCTTAAGGACACCATACTCTTTTACCCACAATGATAGATCCCTGAGGTTCACACCCATTCTGCCCCCCTTTGTCATTCCAAGCTTGCTGGCAATCATATCATTATATCCACATTACTTCCTTGAATTAAATGTTGGCACTGGACTCTACTATTCAGAGATATATCATCCCCATTATTCCTAGGAGATCAGTTCTCTGACGGTATTCCCTATCACAGACTCTGAATTCAAGGAATAGGAACTATTTACTCAGTGATTCTGCTGACTCCCATACCTAATGATTCCTTATTACCTCAGTAAAGAGAGTGCCCCTGAGACCTACCCAGGGTCATATTCAGTCAGTTGGCCTCTCTGGGCTTGTGACTATGTGTTTCCACATCTCTGCACCTTTTGAAATCTTCTCCTCAGCTGTATGTGGAGTGTGCTAGGTAAATCTGTGCTGGATATTCATCATTAAGTAACATTACTTCAATATTTAGCCACCTAAAATGACATGTATTTATTACCTCACAGTTTCTGTGGATCAGGAATCCTGATGCTGTTCAGATGGGTTCTCAGATGGGTATCCTCAACCAGTTAGCTGGCACTAAGGTCTCAAGTGTGGTCTTGACTGGGAAAGAAGTTACTTCTCACTTCACTTACAAGGACACCAGCAGGATTCAGTTCCTGGAAGGCCACTAGAGTGGGGACCTTGCTTCCTTGCTGGCTGGTGAATGGAGACTGTGCTCAGTTTTCTGTCATAAGGATCTCTCCCACATTGCACCTGGCTTCATCAAAGCCAGTAAGAGAGCAAAAAGGGTTGGCTTTGAGATCAAAGTCACAGTCTTTTGTAACTCAACCCCTTGATGTTACCATCTGCTGTGGTTTAGAAGCAAGTTACTCGAGCATAGGGAAATACATGAAACCATGAACATCAAGAGGTGGAAAGCACTGGGCCTTCTTGGAGTTTGCCTCAGAATTTTTGCATAATATTGAAAGAATCACTATTCCTTTATTTAAAATTTGAAAACATGTAAAACTAAACTATATTGTTTAGGGATATATACCCAAGTGGTAAAATCATGAAGAAAATTAACAAAAAGATAATATAAAAATCTGGTTAGTGATAACCTATAGGGTGGAAAGAGGGAGATATCGTCCAAAAAAAAACATATCAAGGGCTACACTGGTGAATGTAACATTCTATTTTATGACTTGGGCATTAGGTATAGAGGGTTTGTGTCAAAATTATTACATTACACATGTGTATTTTATACACTATGCAGTATATGTGTTTTTCATAAGAGTTTTTATAAATTCAGTGTGAATTGAAGTGCTTGCTCTATTTACAACTTAAGAAAGGAATACTAGATTAAGCATTGATTGAACCTATATTTGAGCCTTGAATGATACAGGTTTGTACCACTTGAGTCCATTTATAGGTGGATTTTTTTATATAAATACACTGCAGTATTCTAAAATTTTTCCTTATGATTTTATTAATAACTTTCTTTTTGCTGGCCTACTTTATTCTTAGAGTACAGTATACAAGACACACAACATAAAAAATATGTTATTTGACTATGTTATTGGTAAACTTGTGGCCAAGAGTTGGATGTCAGTGAACAGAAGAAGACATTTGCAAGTGACAAATCAGATAAAGGGCTAGTATCCAAAATCTATAAAGAATTTATCAAATTCAACACCCAAAGAACAAATAATCCAACCAAGAAATGGGCAGAGGACGTGAATAGACATTTCTGCAAGAAAGACATCCAGATGGCCAACAGACACATGAAAAAGTGCTCCACATCACTCAGCATCAGCAAAATACAAATCAAAACCACAATGAGATATCACCTCACACCAGTCAGAATGGCTAAAATTAACAAGTCAGGAATGACAGATGCTGGTGAAGATGCGGAGAAAGGGGAACCCTCCTACATTGTTGGTGGGAATGCAAGCTCGTGCAGCCACTCTGGAAAACAGCATGGACGTTCCTCGAAAAGCTGAAAATAGAGCTACCCTATGACCCAGCAATTGCACTACTGGTTATTTACCCTAAAGATACAAATATAGTGATCCGAAGGGACACATGCACCTGAATGTTTATAGCAGCAATGTCCACAATAGCTCATCTATGGAAAGAACCTAGATGTCCATCAACAGATGAATGGATTAAGAAGATGTGATACACACACACACACACACACACACACACACACAATGGAATGCTATGCAGCCATCAGAAGAAATGAAATCTTGCCATTTGCAATGACGTGGATGGAACTAGAGGGTATTATGCTGAGTGAAGTAAGTCAATCAGAGAAAGACAATTATCATATGACCTCTCATATGAGGAATTTTAGAGGCAGGGCAGGGAGTTGTGAGGGGTAGGGAAGGAAAAAATGAAACAAGATGGGATCAGGAGGGAGAGAAACCATGAGAGACTCTTAATCTCACAAAACAAACAGGGTTGCTGGGGGAGGGGGTGTTGGAGAGGGTGGTTGGGTTATGGACATTGGGGAGGGTACGTGATATGGTGAGTGCTGTGAAATGTGTAAGCCTGGCGATTCACAGACCTGTACCCCTGGGGCAAATAATACATTATATGTTAATAAAAATAATAAATAAGTAAATAAATAAATAAATAAAATTTTTAAAAAGAATTTTAACCATAAAACAATTAATCTGTGTCTTTACCAAATTGTTACCTTGGCTAATTCATCTTAGACACCACTCTTTTAGTTAAATTATACTCCTTTGATGTTGCACTCCTTTGATGTGCAAACATGTGTGTTCATGTGCACACACACACATGCATGTATGTGATCGTCACAGTTATCTGTAAATTCCTGGGGAGCAAATTCTAAATCACATCTATAACCCCTATTACTGGCAACATATGTATCTCAAGATTACCCACTCAACAAATCTGCCTTATAAACAAGCAGGAATTTGATAGAGGTACTTCCTCAAAGCTTGAATGAACAGAATAAAGGGATAGGTCTCTAAGGGTCCTTGGGTCCTTCAGCATCAATATCATCTGGGTACTGGTCAGACAAACCTTAGGTTCCACCCTGTAGTTAGAACCTCTGAGAATTGTCCCAACCACATTAATAAGCCCTTTGGATGATATGATGCATGTTCAAGTTAGACTATCACTAAATAAAGGATAAGTAGAAATAGTAACTAAATGAAGTTAAATTGACTAAAATTCATTCACATTTCAAATAGATCCAAAAAAAACCCCTGTGCTACAGAGGTAAGTTCTGAGGAGAGGCACATTGTGATTAGCCAACATTTTCTCTGCTCTGTTGAAGAGTATTTTTAATTAAGAATGGGATGAGGAATAAAAATGAGGCTATGCCTTCCAGAATCTAAAGACCAGCTGGAGAAAACAACACAAATATATTTGACAGCAAAGTAACAACTCCGAGCAATGGAACATGGTAGTGAAAAGAACCATACGGATAATTGCCTACCATGGTTTTAGAGTAAAGAACACGATCCAAAGTTTGAAACATCCAAGAAAAGCCATTCCAGTGCCAAAGAGATCAGCAATGTCACACCATGTAGAGCTGTCTCCTTCTCATTGCTCATCAATGACCCATAATGGAGGTCCTTTTCCTCTTCTCTCTTGCCACTTCCCACATGCCACACTATGCACATGAGATTTCCTCCCCACTGATCATTGGAAGAAACGCACGAGCAGAAATATAATTGCCCTAATCCCATCCTGCTAAGGGATAGGGGACAGAAAGAAATGTGATTGCAAACACTACCTGTCACACAACAGCCCTCTGTGGAGGAAAAGGAGGATAGAGTGGTCCAAAAGATGCCAGAGGGTGTGAATCAGGAGGAAAAGCAAACCAGATAGAATTGATCACATCTAGAAAAGAAAATTTGTTTCCAACACATTTAAACCATTAGTCAAACAGTACTGTATCTGATAATTACTCAAATATTGGGTAAACAACAACAAGGAAGACGTGTTGACAAATCACCCTGTTTGGGCAGTATATAAGAGGCCATAGCACAAGACTTCCACACTCAAGACCTTGACTTTCCTGGAAACGCACCCAGAACCTCCACCCTCTGACACCATGGTCAACTCCTGTTGTGGCTCCAGCTGCTGCAAGCCCTGCTGCTGCATCTCCAGCTGCTGTCGTCCCTCCTGCTGTGGTTCTAGTTGCTGTGGCTCCAGCTGCTGCCAACCCACCTGCTGCCAGACCACATGCTGCAGGACCACTTGCTGCCGCCCCAGCTGCTGTGTATCCAGCTGCTGCCGCCCCTCCTGCTGTGGCTCCAGCTGCTGCCGCCCCACCTGCTGCATTTCTAGCTGCTGCCACCCCTCCTGCTGTGGATCCAGCTGCTGTGGCTCTAGCTGCTGCCGCCCCTCCTGCTGCTGTCCCTCCTGCTGCCTGCGCCCAGTCTGTGGCCAGGTCTCCTGCCACACCACTTGCTATCGCCCTACCTGTGTCATCTCCACCTGCCCCCGCCCCATGTGCTGTGCCTCCTCCTGCTGCTGAGTCTCTCTGCCTAAAATCTTTGTGACATATGGATATCTTTATAAGTCACATAAAATGCATTAGAGCCAACCAGTAACTATGGAATGGACTCCTTAGCTGCCAACTATTCATCTTCTGATTTGGCATTCAGAGTTCCATTCAGTTTTAGGAAAGGACAGATTAAAACAGCTGTCAAGTGATTTTTTTAAAAGATTTTATTTATTCATTCGACAGAGAGAGATCACAAGTAGGCAGAGAGGCAGACAGAGAGAGAGGAGGAAGCAGGCTCCCCACCAAGGAGAGAGCCTGATGCGGGGCTCGATCCCAGGACCCTGGGATCATGACCTGAGCCGAAGGCAGAGGCTTTAACCCTCTGAGCCACCCAGGCGCCCCCTGTCAAGTGATTTTTAACCCAGGCCCAAATGCATGTATTTTCAGGCCAGCAATATCTTCATCCTACGTATACACTGATCATGATGTTCTTACATGACATTGTTTTCATATGTTCTTAATAAACAGCCATTTCTCCTGATGCATGCATGTGTGCATTTC